GTGGAAAAGTATCACAACCGACATGCAAGCTAATCGGCATTTAATGAACTCGTAACAGTTGTCTTATAGCGATTAAATCGCGACTTGAAATCGCGTGAACTCTGCCCAAGGCCTTAGAGTGGTTCAAAAACCGCTGAGGGTAATCAGCAACCACCTACAGCGTAAAATGAAGTGACACTTCGTGAGAGTCAAATTTGGTGATTCCGGCGCCGTTACCAGATAATCTCGAGTGGGGTTTCGTTGGCGTATCGTCAACGATCTGAGTTCTTCAAGATAATGATTGCACTGCTTGTGGAATACATTTAGTTTTTGAAACGGTAAAAATACCTCTGCTTTCATCGCTAGATAGCAGTGATTTCGGATTCTGTTCTCATGCGTACGAAACTTGCATTTCGATCTTTCAGATGAAATTCGTACGGGAACATATAAGCATCTATTCCATCCAGAACAGATGATAACTGGAAAGGAAGATGCTGCTAATAATTATGCTCGTGGGCATTATACTGTTGGAAAGGTAGGCTTTTGTTATTTCGGGTATACATAATAATTGAAGCTTTGCAGGAAATTATCGATCTCGTGCTAGACCGAACGCGACGCCTTGCTGATAATTGTTCTGGGCTTCAAGGATTTTTGATCTTCCACTCGTTTGGAGGAGGAACTGGATCTGGATTCACTTCCTTGCTCATGGAACGTCTTTCTGTTGATTACGGCAAAAAGAGCAAGCTTGAATTCTCGATCTATCCTGCGCCTCAAGTAAGGCATTGTCTGAAAGTTGGTTACTTTCGGATTAACCATATTGTTCCAGGTTTCTACAGCTGTAGTTGAGCCTTATAATTCAATCCTCACTACTCACACTACCCTTGAACATTCCGACTGTGCCTTTATGGTTGATAATGAAGCCATCTACGATATCTGCCGTCGCAATCTTGATGTTGAGAGACCCAGCTACACGAACCTCAATAGAATCATCTCACAGGTAATAACTGTTTGCGCGTGCTCGTTCTCTTATTTTGTCAAGTTTATCATTTTCAGGTTGTGTCTTCGATCACAGCTTCACTTCGCTTCGAAGGTGCTCTCAATGTTGATCTCACTGAGTTCCAAACAAATCTCGTACCGTACCCTCGCATTCACTTCCCTCTTGCAACGTACTCTCCTCTCATCTCCGCAGAAAAGGTAAGTAATCAAATTTCGCCGTTGCTACACTCTAAAAGCTAATGTTTTAGGCCTACCACGAAGCCTTGTCCGTGAGTGACATCACCAACATGTGCTTCGAGCCTTCGAACCAGATGGTCAAGTGCGATCCTCGTAATGGAAAATACATGGCCGTCTGCTTGCTGTATCGCGGAGATGTCGTTCCAAAGGATGTGAACCAGTCCATTTCCGCCATCAAAGCCAAACGCAGTATTCAGTTCGTTGACTGGTGTCCCACTGGATTCAAGGTAAAACTCAACATCTCACCTACAACTGTAGATAAATGTTCATCGTTCCACTAATGTTCAGGTCGGCATCAATTACCAGCCTCCTACTGTTGTTCCCGGTGGTGACATTGCAAAGGTACCTCGTGCCGTCTGCATGTTATCGAACACGACTGCTATCGCGGAGGCATGGGCTCGTCTTGACCATAAGTTTGATCTGATGTACGCTAAGCGTGCATTTGTTCACTGGTGAGCTTTCTCGATTTATCTCTTCGCTGAGAATCATAGGTGCCGTAGATGACGTCATTTACTGAATTCTTGTAGGTATGTTGGTGAAGGTATGGAGGAAGGAGAATTCAGCGAGGCGCGAGAGG